GGCTTACAAGGAGACTACCTACACGAGAGCAGAGTTATATCATAANCCATGAAAGGGGTCATAGGAGTTGAGGCTAAGCTACGAATAGCTTCGGGAGACAGCTATCGTGGCAGAGGCTTACAAGGAGACTACCTATACGAGAGCAGAGTTATATCATAACTGCAGACGTCCCGTGAAAGGGCCGTAAGAGCTGAGGCCGAGTTACGTATAGCTTCAGGAGATGGTTGCTGTGGTAAAAGCTCATTCAATTGGGATGGAGATTAGGAAGAAGCTAAGGAGCTGGGTGCTGAGGAGCAGGGCACTTGAGGCTGGGCGTTAGAAATATGGTGACTTTTTTCTTTTTGTCTACCTTATTGTTATGTCATAAGCTATTTTCAAACTTTATGAAATGAAAGCAAGAAAGTTATGGACACAATAATCTTCGCAAAGATTTATTTTATAAAATAATAAATAAAAAAATAAATCAACTGAAATAATAAAGGATAAATAAAATCTTCAGGTGTTCGGTATCCTATAGGTGGGCCAAGAATTTTCTGGCGGAGTTAGAGTTGCTTCCTCCTCCTAGTCCTCAAAAGATTGTCTGAATTTCTCTACGGGATTGCTGGCATTTTTTGTCGTTCTGCTCTCAGCTAGGTGGTGGGCTTGTTCTTTGCCAGCAACGTACTGCCTCAATTGAACAAGTTGTATAAGCTCCTCGATCTACCTTTTAAGATCAAAGCAGTTGTCAGTATCATGGTCGTGGTTGCAGTCGAAATGACAATACTTATTCGGGCTCCTCTGGTTCGGGGCGGTCTTCATCTTCTCTGACCAGCGTACTGTAGAATCATCTTGTATTTGGAACAGGATATGTTCCACATAAGCATTGAGTGGTGTGAAGGCTTGCTGCTCTCTCAAAGGTGGGCGACCAAGGCAGTCCTTCACAAAAAATCTCTCTATCCTATTCCTTTTGTTCTCTACTTCCCGCTTGTCCTCATGGGTCTCCTTCCTCTTCTCGCTCCCATGGGATGACTCACCCCTATCTGGCCTTGGTGACATACTCGGCGTTCATGTACTTTTGTGCCCTTTACAACAACTAGGGCATACTGAATGGTGGTTTTTTTAGGACAAAGAACATGAAATTGGATGAGCGCAGACCTGCGATAAAAGCAGTCATGGTCACCTTATTGTCTGGCTTCTCGATCTGGAGAGTGTCCTCATTAAAACGAGTGAGGTAATTCCTAAGGCTTTCATCCCGACCCTGCTTGATGGTGAGCAGGTGGATAACAGGCTTCTGATGTCGGCGTCCCCCAATGAAATGGGAGACGAAAGATTTATTCAACTCCGCGAAGGAATGGATAGAGGAGGGTTTAATCTTCACAACTATTGTCGACCAGACCCTTCAAGGTGGTGGGGAAGGCTCTACACATGATCTCATCAAACACGTTACGGAGTTGTATGAGAGACTTATAGGTGTTAAGATGGTCGAGAGGATCTTTGGTGCCATCAAATATCTCAATGACAGACATCTTGAACTGAGGGTAAAGGGTAGTTGACAACATCTGCCAGAAAATGGGGTATCAGTGCGCCTTACCAGGTAATCCACCGTCACGGGTGCCTATGCCTTAATGGCATTGAGGGCATTATTAAGTTAGATTTGCACATCTTTGATCTTTTTCTTCTCATTGGTTAGGGACGTCCTTCGTTGGGTGTTTGTACTGGCTTCCATGATCGCTATACTGACTTTCTTCTTCATACTCCTGTGCAGGTACACGAAGAGGGGGAACACGTAAACTTTTTATGCGCTGAGGAAGGACTGCTGGGCAAGGTGCGCCCTGGCAGGGCCCTAGGGCATTTTAGCAAGGGGCCCCATGGTGTGGAGCTGCTTGGCGCNCCTTCGTTGGGTGTTTGTACTGGCTTCCATGATCGCTATACTGACTTTCTTCTTCATCCTCCTGTGCAGGTACACGAAGAGGGGGAACACGTAAACTTTTTATGCGCTGAGGAAGGACTGCTGGGCGAGGTGCGCCCTGGCAGGGCCCTAGGGCATTTTAGCAAGGAGCCCCATGGTGTGGAGCTGCTTGGCGGCCAGAAGGGATGAGTTTCTGCTCCTTTCCTAATAGAGGGAGTGTGGCTCCTCCCACGGGCTGTGGGGTGTTGCCTCCCTAAGCAATCATCAACAGTATGATTTGTTAGTTTTGGTTTACTAGCAGGTACATGGTCTGTAAGAGTTGTTGCCCGACTACGGGAGTTGCCATAGCAAATGATCCCGAGGGTGCAAGGGAAAACGGAGCCTCCTCCAGCTGGGCCGGGTTGTTGTCTCCCGATTGTTGATTCATCGATCTTATCTTGATTGCCATGGATTAGAAGAGAGTAGAAAACTTTTTTGTTTCTCACAAACGGTGCTAAACTGATGATGTACAAATTAGTCTCATGTAAAATTAACAATCNGGCCGGGTTGTTGTCTCCCGATTGTTGATTCATCGATCTTATCTTGATTGCCATGGATTAGAAGAGAGTAGAAAACTTTTTTGTTTCTCACCAACGGTGCTAAACTGATGATGTACAAATTAGTCTCATGTAAAATTAACAATTGAGTATATGAAGAGATGCAATTAATGAGCAGTAATTAAGATAATCAATAGCAAAATAATAAATAAGGGCAAACATATAGATATATAGTGGTTCGGTCCGGTTGACCTATTCCACTCTCGAGAAATGACAGTGGTGGCCGGAGTTCTTTATTAATGAATAAAGTAACTGGGATAGTACACTCCATGAGAATTACAATGGTTAGGAGAGAGAACTTGGCGTGTAAGGATGTGCAGAGAGACAAAGCTCAAGGTGTAGTGTGTTGGGAGAGATGTTGAGATGCCTCTCCATGTGGGGAGAGCTTACAAGATATAGGTTTGGTGAGGTGAGGTGGTGATGTGAGTGAAAGGACACTACTTCTTTGGTAAATACAATTAAAGTAGGATTGATCTTCATGAGTGCATATCTCGGTAATCTTTCTCTCACGTGCTCTTATCTTCCCAGGCTACTTGGATCTTGAACTGGGTTGGATTGGTGAAGTGGGCTTGGGCTGTCTTTTAGCTGACTTGGGCACAGTTGATTTATAGGGCCTGGCCCAATTGCTTTGGGCTCATCAAATCCGAAACCAAAAGACAAATGATCTATCATGGTCACTGAAATGACAGTCTATTATGGTCCGTTTAGTATGGTAGAAAAATGGAAAGATGAAAAATTGGAAGGATGAAAAGTTTGAGGGATAAATAAAATATCATGTTTTAGAAGGAAGGAAAGTAGAATGAATAAAAAAGTTGATGAATTAACTTTCCTTTCAACTCATCAAAATTAATCTCTCCAAAATCGGAAGGAAAGTGAATGAAAAATTAATTATTTGTGTTGATTTTTATCTTTTTTGTTTATATATCTTTTGAAATATACATATATTATTTATACATTAATTTCATATAAAAACACAATGTTAAAATATGTATTTATATATATTTTAACAAATTTTAAAAATAAATTTTAAAAATAAAAAATTAAAAACAAAAAATTAAAATTAAAAATAATATATTTTTCATCTTAGCTAAGAATGAAAATTTTCGACTTAATACGATGACATGAGTTAAACTCGATACAAATTTTATGACACGAATTTAATATTAACTTAACACGAACTTAAAAATAATCTGACACGCAAACAAGATATATAAAAAGGTTCATATTCAGTTTCAACCTATCAAACTCAAAATTGACACCATCAACCCGTTTATTTAAAAATAAACACTTTTCCTATTTTCTCGTTTATAGGGTAACAAAAAACTAACAAGAAACTAACATATTTAACTAGTATTATAGATATAAAATGTTAATTCTTTGTAACTATTTATTAAGCACTTACATAATTATTATATAAAAAAAGATATTTTTACGTATTATATTTATTTAAGTTAATTTTTAGTTTGTAGAAAAAATATTAACATAGATTCAATTAAGTGAAAATAAAATATTAGCATTAATTTTTTTATTAAAAGTTTATGTCGGTCAACACGAAGACGAACACGATACAAAAATAAGCAGATCAACTTTCAACTTGACATTACACAATTAGTTAAATGAGTTGAGTTATATTTGACTAATGTTCAATATAAACCCGTAATGACTCATCACGACTTTATTATCACTCATAATCTTAGCGAGCACAAAAATAAAAAAAAATTAATCAGTTTTATTTTTCATCCATCCTACCAAATACAAATGAAGAAAATTGCGTCAATCCTACTTTCATTTCTTGAAGGATAGAAAGTATATTTCTCATACTTTACATTATTTATGTTTTCTATCNACAATTAGTTAAATGAGTTGAGTTATATTTGACTAATGTTCAATATAAACCCGTAATGACTCATCACGACTTTATTATCACTCATAATCTTAGCGAGCACAAAAATAAAAAAAAATTAATCAGTTTTATTTTTCATCCATCCTACCAAATACAAATGAAGAAAATTGAGTCAATCCTACTTTCATTTCTTGAAGGATAGAAAATATATTTCTCATACTTTACATTATTTATGTTTTTTATTATTTCTACCAAACAGAGCATTAGGGTGGGGATTTATTTTGAAATTTTGGAAAAAGATTTCATTACAATGGTCATACTACATAATAATGTGATGTAATATTTTAATTAATAATATTAAAATAAATAAATAAATAAATCCCATAAAAACTAATAACCAACATTTAACTAAATAGCTCTCAACTTTTTCTTAGTCTAAGTCCAAGTTGGTTCATGTATCATCGTTATATTAAATAGAGTAATACTACTTGAGTTTAAAATTTTAATCTAATTTATTGATATAATGATGTGATTTCATAGAAATTATTGCATCAATATCAAATTCTAATATTTGATAAGGTCTACAATAAATCTAAATATTATGATAAATTAAATCAATAAATTAGATGTTCAGAGCATTCCTCTATTAAATATTTGCTCTGAATTTTGGTAGAGGAAGGGAGCGAGGGGGGATTGGGGCAAGCGTCAGACTGTAACCGGATATTCAGGGGGTTACAACTGAAGGGTCCAATAATCGAAGCAAGTGGACAACACAAAACGACACGTGGCGGTCACATTCCTCCGAACCTGGCTGCAAAATCTGAAACGGCGTGGCGGTCTGATCAGATTAAATGAGTCTTCTTTACCCTAAATGGCCGGTGTCGAATCCCCACCCACCTGTATTCACCAACTTTCTATATCTTCCTTCCACACTTTCCAAAACACTACAAACAGAACCAGAGACAGAGAGAGATAGAGAGAGAAGTCGTGAGAGATTCTTCTTCCCTGGCAAGTCAGAAGCATAATCAGAGCAAGTTCATTTTTCTCTCTGCACTTTTTTTTTTTCGTTTTCGTTCCTTTGGTTTTTCATTATTTTTCTTCCTTTTTCTCTTAATCTTGTTGATAATTTTTCTATTACTTTTTTTCGTTTACCGTGTTAGACAAAAGGGTTCATGAATTTATATTATTATTTTTTGTTCATATTGCCTAGGGTTCTTGGGAGGTTTTGAGTTGAAAAGGTTGAAGAAAGCGAGAGACGTGGGTCCTGTCTCCTTATTGTGGTGCATTTCAGTCAACCAGATTTCATTTATACACACTTGCACATAAATCTACAAGAATTTTGGCGGGAAATGTGCTATCAACCATGGCAGGTGATTCTTCTTCTCTCTTCTGTTTCAGAAGAAAGAAAAAAATATTCTAACTATGCATTGGATGGTAATGTGGCTTCGGATTCTTCCTGTTTGTTAGTTTAATATTAGTGCATGAGGAAAATCAGAATCTTTTTTGTAAATGATTTAACGTAATTACTGGCCTAGCCGCATTTATACACTAAATATTAATGGAGCAATTAGAATTATAGGAATGTGTGTGTAGATCCGTATAAAAGATCTTTCTTATTCCTTTTTTCTTTTCTTTCCTTTTTATATTTCCAACTATGTACGTAAATCTATGCAAATAGAAGAATTTATACGAACAGACACCATGAGTCTATGACAGACTAAAAATAATTTTTTGGGTAAGATTTTACTGACGGAATAACTTGTATACAAAGTATACCACCATAGGCCTTATACTAGATTTAGTTGCATGTGCAACTAATTTATATTATTCGATTCTCATAAGACTACTGAATTTTCCAATGTCGCTGCCATTGTTATATTCTTTTTCTTAATTATTTGATATTTTTTTTTATTCTTTGGAGGGGGGGGAGGGGGTTGGGTCTGCGTGATACAAAATAACCTGATAAAAATGAACTACCTTAACCCTGAGATATAACCATGTAATTTAATTCACTGAACTGTTGAAAACTAAATGGCTTTGGCAGTATGGCCTTTAAAATTTCTTTGACTTCGCCTTTGAGTGGAAGACAGAAGGCACAGAAACAAAGAGCTAGTACTGGCACAGTATAAACTTTCTTGTTTGTAGAGGACATGCACTACAGTAATTAAATGAATAAGCACTTTTTTAACCCTTTGACGAGTGTGGTTTCCAATTAATTGGTCAACAGATTTCTGCTTGGAAAGCCAAATAAAATCGATCAATCTCTCTTACTCTGATTTTTTATTGGACAAACTTGCTGGCATTTTAAAAGAGTAGTTATTACTCTTTCTGGTACTTTATTATTTATTAAGTCGGATATTTTTCATAAAAAATGCTTGTCCGTACACATACCTCTTTAACACATGCATGGCTACTCGGAGATCCACATTGTGGTTTTTTATGGGTACCATTTAAAGAGACTTCTCTGCTTGAGATGGATGGGTATTATCGTCTGTTAAAATCTCTAATTGCTCGAAATTTTTACATATAGCTTATCATCGTATAGGTTTATTCAGACTACATGGATATTGCTAATTTATTTTTTATTCAATAGCAGCCTGTGTAGAAAGGGTATATGGCATATACTGTTGTTAGCAGTATGTGCATATTTCAATGGTTGCACACAAGCAGTGTCGGAGCCGGCATATATATATATATACTAGTCATAATCCGTGCCTGAAGGCACGATAAAATATAAACTTTGAGCGTTCAAAAAATCGATCTCACTATATTAAATTTTTTTAAAATATATTAACTAAAAATTAATTTAATATTAAATGATTAAATATATAATAAAAATGAGTGATGTGATGTTTTTAGGGAGGAAATATATAAATAATTAAATATGTGATAGAAATGAATGTTGCGATTTGACGTTTGAGTATGACAAATGGATGATAGGTGAGATAAGTGATTGGTGATGGTTTTGAGGGGAAAAATATGACTGAGATAAAATTCAAATACACTCCTGTTTTATTATATAGATATGTTATATACCCTTAAAGGTTGACATAAATATAAATATACCCTTAAAGGTTTGGACACAAATATAAATAAAAAAAATTTCACTAATTGATATAAACTATTAAACTTAATCACTTACCCAAATAATACTTGATGTCATATCATGTTCCGAAAATTATCTATTTTTGTATAAAATTTTACACTAATATTTTTCTTAATGTACATAATCAAAGAGCCCACCAATAAATCATGATCTGTTATATTAAAATCACATTTTTTATAATAAAAATAATTTCCAAATTTAACAAGCAATACTAATCCAAATGACCATTTAAATTTGATACATAACTCCTCTATTTTTTGACTTATTAAAATATAAGAATATAAGATGTAATAATATTTTTCAAGACATCAAAATGCAAGGATCAAAAGAAAGATTGAACAATTAAAGGGACTTGAGTAAAAATATTATATGAGTATGTGAAGTAGGCAAGACAAATGTCAAGGGTGTCACCGGCCCACCCAGGTTTAAGAGTGGGTCTGCCACTGCACACAAGTGATATGAGAAACAGGATAACACTATGCTACCATTCCAGTACCATACNGTGAGGTAAGTGATTGGTGATGGTTTTGAGGGGAAAAATATGACTGAGATAAAATTCAAATACACTCCTGTTTTATTATATAGATATGTTATATACCCTTAAAGGTTGACATAAATATAAATATACCCTTAAAGGTTTGGACACAAATATAAATAAAAAAAATTTCACTAATTGATATAAACTATTAAACTTAATCACTTACCCAAATAATACTTGATGTCATATCATGTTCCGAAAATTATCTATTTTTGTATAAAATTTTACACTAATATTTTTCTTAATGTACATAATCAAAGAGCCCACCAATAAATCATGATCTGTTATATTAAAATCACATTTTTTATAATAAAAATAATTTCCAAATTTAACAAGCAATACTAATCCAAATGACCATTTAAATTTGATACATAACTCCTCTATTTTTTGACTTATTAAAATATAAGAATATAAGATGTAATAATATTTTTCAAGACATCAAAATGCAAGGATCAAAAGAAAGATTGAACAATTAAAGGGACTTGAGTAAAAATATTATATGAGTATGTGAAGTAGGCAAGACAAATGTCAAGGGTGTCACCGGCCCACCCAGGTTTAAGAGTGGGTCTGCCACTGCACACAAGTGATATGAGAAACAGGATAACACTATGCTACCATTCCAGTACCATACAGAAGTTTATTGTGAGCGGTAGAATTTGTTCTGATTTTTTGGTTGGTTGTTTATAATTAACGAAGAATAAAAAGTATGGTACAAAAAAGTAATCCAAGTTTGGCCCTCATCAACAGGTCGGTAACTTTTGATAGACTGTCCATTTTAATTCAAGGTATTTTGATATTGAGGGAATGCTGGGCTTTGGGGAGTCATTTATTTCACAGAACGAGGACGATAGTTCCAATAAACAAGTGGGTGAGAGAGAGAGAGGGGGTGGGGGGGGGGGCGGTGTTGGATTTTCCCAGTTGGACTTGTGGGGTTGTCTTAGTATAGAAAAACTGATGGACCACAACTTCTAGTATAGTAAGTCATTCGTTCCATTTGTTATTATATGTAATGAATTATTATATTGTGGTGTTGTCAGTGTTGGAATTTGGTGATCAGAGTCAGACCCTTAAAAATGACACTGGCAAAAGAAAGTTGGCAGAAACCCTAGTGTGACAGGAAGAGATTTAAATACCTATTACCATTCTCAGTACTTCTCTTTTCCACCCCTCCTCTTCTCTCTCCCTCTTATGGTTCATTTGATGCTTCACCAAGCAGGCAGAGAGAGAGAGAGAGAGAGAGAGAGAGAGATCACTGTTGCAGACTCTCTTTGGTAGGGTAAATAATTTTTTTTTGTAATAGTCTTTGGATCTTATGTTTGATAATAAAAAGCATATTATTATTGTTCTCTTTTGTGTTTATTGCATGCGCAGGGAAATTTTGAATTCAGAAACCTTCATAACATATGGGCTCCATGAATTCAAACAATTGGCTTTCCTTTCCTCTTTCACCAACTCATTCCTCCTTACCTTCACATCTTCATACAGCTCAGTCAAGCCATTTTTCTCTAGGGTTAGCGAATGATACTATTGATAATCCATTTCAAAACAACGGTACGTCCTCTCTCTCTCTCTCCACACACACATATTTGGGTGTTCATGATTATTCTTTATGTTTTAGTGCAATTATTTCTATACNTTCCTCCTTACCTTCACATCTTCATACAGCTCAGTCAAGCCATTTTTCTCTAGGGTTAGCGAATGATACTATTGATAATCCATTTCAAAACAACGGTACGTCCTCTCTCTCTCTCTCTCTCTCTCTCTCTCTCTCCACACACACATATTTGGGTGTTCATGATTATTCTTTATGTTTTAGTGCAATTATTTCTATACGTGCAGAGTGGAATTTAATGAACACCCAAGGGAGCAATGAAGCTCCAAAGGTTGCTGACTTTCTGGGTGTGACCAGATCTGAAAATCAGTCAGAACTTGTAGCCTATAACGATATCCAGGCCAGTGATTCCGACTACCTATTCGCAAACAACAGTCTATTGCAAGTTCACAATACCTTGGCAGCTGCTCCGAATAGCTTTGACCTCNTATCCAGGCCAGTGATTCCGACTACCTATTCGCAAACAACAGTCTATTGCAAGTTCAGAATACCTTGGCAGCTGCTCCGAATAGCTTTGACCTTCAAGAAAATGCTAGTAATATTCAGTCCTTGACATTGTCTATGGGCAGTGGTGGTAAGCGTTCAACTTGTGAAACCAGTGCCGATAACATCAATGCGAACACTGTTGAAGCTGCTCCTAGGAGGACTCTCGACACATTTGGACAAAGAACATCAATTTATAGAGGTGTAACTAGGTCAGGATTTATATTTTCTTCATTTTTCTTTATGCCTAGGTCACAATGTCATTAAAAGATAATAGGATTCTGGTTCATGGTGAGTAGTTAGTGTTGTTTAACCTCGATACTGAACATTATATATATCTTGTTTTTTCGAAATTTTTTTTTTTTGCTTACTGAGATTTTATTTGGGGGTACAAATATAGACATAGATGGACAGGCAGGTATGAAGCTCATCTATGGGACAATAGTTGTAGAAGGGAAGGACAATCTAGGAAAGGTCGCCAAGGTAAATACTTATACGTACTTTCTTCTAAAGCTTATGTTGTTACTTAAAGATTAATTCAAACCTTACTAACCATTTTCCATCATCATCTTTGGTTGCTGTGTGACTTCAATCACTTAACAGTCTATTTGGGTGAGTAAAATAATCTCTTTTTAATCATTTGCAGATATTTATATTTATGCACTATTAAATACCAAATATCGCTTTTTTCTGTTCTTTTTCTTTTCATTCCTCCTCATTTAACTTGTATTTGAACAGGTGGGTATGATAAAGAAGACAAAGCTGCTAGGGCTTATGATCTGGCTGCATTGAAGTACTGGGGAACATCTACCACTACCAATTTCCCGGTAAGTTTCTGCTGATGTTTCGAAATGAATTGCCGCGTAATTAGGGAAATTGCATGATGTTCTTGTTGATAAATGCATGATGCGCGGCTTTTCGGTATTTCAGATCACTAACTATGAAAAGGAACTGGAGGAGATGAAACATATGACCAGACAAGAATTTGTCGCCTCCATTAGAAGGTAAGGACATGCTTACTCATATACTAGGTTCTTTACTTCTATAATTCATTTTGTATGAAGTTTTGTTATTTTTGCCTAATTGCTGTTTGCCATCATTTGATAAAAAAATAATTCCAGGAAGAGCAGTGGCTTTTCCAGGGGCGCATCCATGTACCGCGGTGTTACAAGGTATCCCGCATCTTTTCCTCCTTTTAATCCACCTCCCCATCCCCAAAAAAAAAAAAAAAAAAACCCCATCCCCCCGTAAAAATAAAAATCTCTCTCTGACGCACAAGATCTACAATCAGACACCATCAGCATGGAAGATGGCAAGCAAGGATTGGGAGAGTTGCAGGAAACAAAGATCTTTACTTGGGAACATTCAGTATGTATTTCAGAATCCCATGCTAAGAATGAAGCATTTCATGCATCACTTCATTCACAAATATTATTTTTGAGGCTTTGGGACCAAAAAAAAAAAGAAACTATCATTTCTGTCTAACTTTGTGCTAGTCATCTGAACTACAACGCAAAGTTGCCAGCCCTTGATCATCTTAGCTATTCACTTTAGTATACTGTTCACTCATTAAAATAAACACAGCCAAATCAAGTCATTGGCTTGAAACCTTTGGTGTTTGCCCAGCATATATGTTATTATGTACGACAGATTTTAACTGAATAATGTGAAAATTATTAATCTTCCATTTTGGGCTCGATTTGACAATTGTATTGTTAGTTGGATGTCTTGGACATTTAAAATTCCCTTTTTTTTTTGGTCAAAAAACTTATCTACCTTCAGAAAAAATTAAATGAGCTTGAATATTTTTGATAATCAGCATGTACTCATGCAGGTACCGAGGAAGAAGCTGCAGAAGCTTACGATATCGCAGCTATAAAGTTCAGAGGACTCAATGCAGTAACCAACTTCGACATGAACCGCTACGACGTCAAGAGTATTCTCGAGAGCAACACTTTGCCAATCGGAGGTGGAGCAGCAAAAAGGCTAAAGGAAGCACAAGCAATTGAATCGTCTCGAAAGCGAGATGAAATGATAGCCCTTGGATCAAGCTTTCACTATGGAAGCTCTAGCTCAGGCCCTCTACAAGCATACCCTCTAATGCAGCAACAATTTGAGCAAGCTCAACCCTTACTAACCCTGCAAAATCAAGAGCTATCTCAATATAGTACCCAAGACCCTCAATTCCACCACAGTTACATCCAAACACAACTTCAATTACACCAGCAATCTGGTTCATTCTTACACCACCCAAACCAAAATACTCAGTTCTATAGCGGTTATCTTCAGAATAACCCACTTTTGCTTCATGGATTGATGACTATGGGATCGTCTTCTTCAGTGATGGACAACAATGGCAGTTCCAGTGGTAGTTACAATGGAGGATATGTGGGTAGTGGGATTGGGATGACTTCAAATTCTAGGGCTACTGAGGAACTTGCACTAGTGAAAGTTGACTATGATATGCCTTCTGGTAGTTACAGTGGCTGGTCTGGGGAATCGGTTCAAGGATCGAATCCTGGTGTTTTTACAATGTGGAATGACTGAGATTTCCGGAAGGTAAATGAATGGGAGGTGAAGAATCAGAGCCCGCTGGTAGCAGTTTTACCTTTGCTTTTCATGTTTTTATTTAAGGTTTCAGAAGTTATGATATGAACAACCCAGTTTGCTTTATGGGCTTTATTAAGTGGATTCGATTCTCGGTGAATGAAAATTATTAGATGGGAGTCTTGTAACACGTACTTTCTTTTTAGCTTCGATGGNTCGATTCTCGGTGAATGAAAATTATTAGATGGGAGTCTTGTAACACGTACTTTCTTTAGCTTCGATGAGGATAGAGTAATGCTATTGCCATTAATATAACAAAAGCTAATCAAATCCATTAACTTAAATGAAGTGACAGTTGATATATTATAATAGCATTACTGCAGCTATAATTTCTGAACTCCGTCATACTAGAAATATAATACAGTCTACCGAGATCAATTAATGTTCATATAATCAAGATAAGTACTTTTGATGATGGCAAATATAAATGATGTTAATCTTTATCTGATATATTTTTTGTTGTACAAATAGGGTTACAGCTCCACATAAGTAACTACTATAAATAATAGGGTAAGGTTATTCTCACCCTCCTTAATCTTTTTTTCCACCGCATTTAATTTTTTTACTTCAAAATACGAAGTTCACTAACTCACTTCATTAGTTACAAAATCCACTTTATCTATATTCACTAATTAAAAATTAAATTTATTCAATTTTATTTCAACCTAATATACAGAGAATGATTAAAATTTTGTTTTAGTATATTATTTTGGTACGAAAAATATTTTAGAAGTAGAGTCAAAATTAATAATAATTTTTAAAATATTAATCGAAATATACCAAAATATCTTAAAATGTCTCAAAAGATATTGGTGAAAATATATTAAAATATCTCAAAATATATTAAAATAATATAGATCACTTTGAAACATTAAAAATTTCATTTCAATTACTATTTTTGTTTTGGATTCTTTGATATGTATTTAATAGTTTAATTAAATGAGTATAAATAGGGTGAACTTAAAAACTAATATGGTGGGTATTGATAAAATGAACTTAATAGTTTGAAATAAGATGGTTAAATAGGATTAAAAAAAAGATATTTAATAGATGGGAATTGCTCCACCCTAAATAATATATCAGATATAGCTGATCGAATGAATGGTTCGTTGATATACGACAATGTGACAAATCATGTATATTCTTTTCGCATGTTTTTACAATCCTACTCACTAATCTTTCTCATATTATAAATTTTTTCATGTAGGGGATTCTTTGCATCCATTCCATCCCATTGAATTTTTTATTTTGAAACTACTAAGTCTATCCCATTACTTACCCACCAATTAATAATTTTTTTTTAAAACTTAATTTAATTTTTTTTGGGGGAAAGGGGAGGAAGAGAAGGGGGTTTGAACTCTTAACCTTAATAAAACAAAAACTTCACAAGGTAAGGAGTATCATTAGACCAAAGATCCATTAATACCAATTAATAACTAAACTCACCACATTAATGATTAAGTTCGGCCCATTAACATATTAACATATCATTCAACTTGTAATCATCACATCCAATCCAAAACATATATATATATATAAAATCATATATTATTCTCACCTATATACTTTCTCACCATATATATAAAATGAGTGGTTAGCTAGTTGGCCATTGACAACTTTATTTGTTTAACATTTCACGTCATACATCTTATTGTTTCTTAGATTTATTTTTCATTTACTTAATTGCTTTGGTCCTTTTGAAACATATATTTGACGTCCAGTGAAATAGTATTATTATAAATAGAAATTTAATGTCAAATACTAAAATTAAGAGTATTATAATGTAGTGGTGTATCACAATGACGAGGAAGGAAAAATGCTCCTAAATGGAATAAAACAAAAAAGTCACAAGTCTCATTACGAGGGTAAAAAATACAAATGATATAAGTGAAGCCAATTTTGTTCTAGAACTGTATACCCCCACATTTTTATATTAAGATACTGATGTAATTATTTAGTAATTCTTATATATGTAATGACGTAAGAATGAACCATATAGATTATAACGGTAGGAATAAATACTTGGAAGACAAATTGATTGTGAAGTTTAAAGTTTCAAAGTTGTTTAAGCTTGGGAAAGGGGGTTAGATAAGTTTCTAAATATTTTTAGGTCAAAATAAGATTTTCATTGAATCCGAAAGGTCGAGAAATCTTGGGAGAAGTAATATGGGGTGTATTATAAGTTAAGAAGTATTCTAGAGTTAAAACACATTTTAGAAAGACTTCAGGTAAGAAGGAATTTGAAACTACCTTAGTATTTTTGCCATACATTTTTATTCCTAACTCTGGTTGAGCTGATTTTTGGATAGTAGAAACTAGACTTCAATGGTTATAAAAGTGTATTTCACAAATATTTCCTAAATCGACTTCTAAATGGGTGAAAACTACTCCCGAAGTTGGGACAGAAAGTTACCTCCGTCCGGAGNATTTTTAGGTCAAAATAAGATTTTCATTGAATCCGAAAGGTCGAGAAATCTTGGGAGAAGTAATATGGGGTGTATTATAAGTTAAGAAGTATTCTAGAGTTAAAACACATTTTAGAAAGACTTCAGGTAAGAAGGAATTTGAAACTACCTTAGTATTTTTGCCATACATTTTTATTCCTAACTCTGGTTGAGTTGATTTTTGGATAGTAGAAACTAGACTTCAATGGTTATAAAAGTGTATTTCACAAATATTTCCTAAATCGACTTCTAAATAGGTGAAAACTACTCCCGAAGTTGGGACAGAAAGTTACCTCCGTCCAGACGCTCCAAGCACTGTCTGAACGGTACTCCTTACCCAAAAAATTTATTTTTAATCAAAAACAGTGATTTTGAACTATATGGACGCCCAAGGACCGTTTAGACGTTACTCTAAAAACGGCCTCGATCAATTTTAGTGGTTTTCTTCGTTTTTCACCATATAAATACCATAAGGGCGTCTCTTTACCTATTTTTCATCAGTTTTCAACCCTAGGGAGTGAGAGAGAAGGAGAAACACAAGGCTCAAAGGGATTCTCACTTTGGAATGGATCAAACACACTAGGTTTACACACAAACTACGAAATTAAGGTAGGGAATTCTTCTCAAGTTCTTTCATTGAGACTTAGGGTATAATTATGCATGATTTCAATCTTCTTGATAATTATATGACAGATATATATGAGTTCTTGGTTTCTTTATCATTGGAACATAATATTAAACAAAATACATGTTTGGGTTCAAGGAATACATGTTCTTGAATTTTCAAAATCCTAATTTTTCTAAAATACATGTTCTACTGTGAAATTCATATGGATTCTTGATTTCTAAATTCCTATTCTTGATTAAATTATGTTTTCATCTAATATTTGTTCTTGTTCCATGAAATTATGATTTTTGGCTAAACTCTAGAATTTTGATATCGAAATTATGAATGTTTTCTTAAGATGATCTCTCATATATTTTAGTTCCTTTAGTACTATAGTATATTGAGAATTGTACACTTGTGATACTTGAATTGTTAATAAAATTTGTGATTGGTTAAGATTGTGATTGTTGAGAATATTGTAGTTTCATCTCTTGTATTATTTTTTGTGATGGATTTAAATTGCCTTCGAGAGCTGCCGTAGAGTGTTAGAGGTTAGTCTATCCTAGTGGAGGTAAGGTGGTTGTCTAACGCTTGTAGTTGATTGTTGTTTGTGAGAGCAACCATTATTGTTCACGTAAGTTCGAGGCTGAGGGATGGTATACCTTTTCTGGGAAGGATTCGTCAATACCGTGGAAGACGGTATACGCCATTCCTAAAGTAGTTTGTGATTTGGTCCTGTGGGAAATGATTGAGATTATGTGGTTGTGGTGGGTGAACAATGCAAAATCGTTGTGTAGATTCCTAAGAAGCAACTAACATACATGACAATGGAGATGAACCAAGATACATGACAATGGGGATGAACTAACAAACATGAGAATATGAAATAATGTCACTGAGATATTTATTGATTGTTTTAATTTCTTGTAAGTTTATTCCTGTCATTAATTTACTATATTCCGTACACTTGAGATCATTACAACTATCATGGTTTTATTCTGAAATTTAATATATGTTATTTTCTAAAAGAGACTTGCTATCTTTTATTGTTTTAAAAACCTTGTTGGGATTTGAGAGGGATTTTCTACGGGCTTTTGCTCACCCCCTACAACACACTTACAGATTTTGGCATAAAAGAAGATGTCAATGTGGATGAGAAGATTGATTACGATGCGTTGGAGGTTCAAGATATGGATCCTACCTTAGAGGAATATNATTGTTTTAAAAACCTTGTTGGGATTTGAGAGGGATTTTCTACGGGCTTTTGCTCACTCCCTACAACACACTTACAGATTTTGGCATAAAAGAGGATGTCAATGTGGATGAGAAGATTGATTACGATGCGTTGGAGGTTCAAGATATGGATCCTACCTTAAAGGAATATAGTTGATCTATTTTTGGTTTAGAGTTTGAGAGATTTTTATGAAATAATATTTTAGCTAGTTTTTATTATTCTATTGCTAGATATTTTTGGTTTTCACTTGTAAGTTGGAGAAGTTTCAATATTTTATTGCCTTTAGTATTTATTCCTTATCAAATGGATGAGCGGTTTATTACATAATGATTATTCTTTTTAGTTGCTATCATGGTTGGATGGTTTGTAGATAGTAATATTTTCCAGGGTAGATTTTGGGGCGTTACAAGAACCCTAATCAAGCCTCTCTCGTTGTTGCCCTGATTCCATAAACATTATCAAGTAAAGAAGACTCTCTACATAAAATTTTAGATTCCAAATATAAATCAATAGTGACCAAATATTTATGAAAATATAAAATTAGTAAGATTTAAAAATATATATATACTTCCTTTGTTTTTAGGCTACGTCGTCAATAATATCTTCAATCGTAATTTCTTAATTGTTTACTAGCTAAGACTTGAATCTTTCTATC